ATATTGTTGCTCCTTATCTAGCTACTATTTTCAATAAATGTGTTGATAATGGCGTGTTTCCTCAATTAATGAAATTTAGCAAATTAATTCCCCTGTTTAAGTCAGGAGATATATTTGAGCTAGGCAACTATAGACCAATTTCTATTTTGCCAGTTCTAAGTAAAGTATTTGAAAAGATTATGTTTAACCAAATGTTAAAATACTTCAGGGATAACGGACTGCTTCACAGTCAGTAATATGGTTTCACTGCCGGCAAGTCTACTACTACTGCAGGTGTAGCGCTTATTATACATATATTCGAATCATGGGAAAACTCACAGGATGCTCTCGGCGTTTTTTGTGACTTGTCGAAGGCGTTTGATTGCGTAGATCATGAAACACTTTTGTACAAGCTCAAACATTATGGTATTAGAGATAATGACCTAAGTCTAATGAAAACTTATCTAGAGGATAGGGTGCAAACTGTAGATATTGATGGTGTAAAGTCTAAGGGAACTAATATAAAAATGGGCGTTCCTCAAGGTTCAATATTGGGCCCATTTCTCTTTTTAATTTATATAAATGACCTTCCCTACATGGTAGAGAAAGTTGCAGATATAGTGTTATTTGCGGATGATACTTCGTTAGTGTTTAAAATTGGTCGCCAATGTAATCAATTAGACGATGTAAATTATGCTATCTCTGCTATACTAAATTGGTTCACATGTAATAATCTATTATTGAACTCCAACAAAACTAAGTGCATTAAATTCACGCTGCCTAATGTAAAACAAGTAAATACGCAGCTATTGCTTAATGATGAAATAGTAAATTTTGTTAATGATACAGTTTTTTAGGAATAACAGTGGACTCGAAGTTACAATGGGGGCCCCATATTTCAAAATTAGCCAGTAGACTTAGTTCTGCTGCTTATGCAATTAGAAGGATAAGGCAATTAACAGACGTGGCGACGGCAAAACTTGTATATTTTAGTTATTTGCATAGCATTATGTCATATGACATAATGCTATGGGGTAAAGCTGCCGATATAAATACTATATTTATTTTACAAAAGAGAGCCATACGTTCTATTTATGGTATGGGTTCTAGAGAGTCATTACGTCAATGCTTTAAACAATCAAATATCCTCACCGTTGCCTCACAGTACATTTATGAAAATATTATGTATACAAGGAAAAACTTAGATAGTTTCAAGAAACTTAAAGACTGTAGAAAAGTAAGTAGAAACTTACGCAATAAAAATAAGCTAATTTTACCTAAATGCTATGCATAAGTTTGTATTCACACGTTTCGACTTGTAAATGTAAACTTACAAGGATTATTTAAAAGAGCAACACACAAGTTTCTTGCTTCTTCTTCTTGTGATGAGACAGCTTTCCGAACGAGTGGTAGATAAAAAACAAATTGTTATGACTATTCAAAAGTGCTTAAATTAAGTTTATTTGAATAAATGATTTTCTATTCTATTCTATTCTGCACTGCTGTGTCTAAACTGTGTCACCCCACCTTACATTTTCCTATTTTTATTTAGTATATAAGATCATTATTTCTATGTACATATTGTCAGTTTATCATCATCTGTAATATACATCGTCTCGACCAACAACATCGTATCATAAAGCCGCAACAAGCGACAATGCAATCGTACAAATCTTCATGTATGAGTGTCATTTTCATCTGGAATTTCCAAATGCCGTAATTCGCCATTCCTGACTATTTATCCATAGTTAACGATTAAGAAGTCATTTTGAAGAGCATTCGCAAATCGTAATTATTATATTAAATATTAGAGAAACAAGCTATTCGGTGTAAAATGTAAAATTTTATTCTAATCACAATGTCAGTTACTGTCAAAATAAATGTCAGTTACTTAGTAACAAATAATCGTTACTAAGTAACTGACATTTTTCTTTTTCGGTATGTGAGATTATAAACCTCAATAATATATACCCAATTTTATTTAATTTAATAAAACCAAACCGCCTGAGTATCTTTGCACTCCCTAAGGTTGGCTGGTAGAGAATGCTATTAGCATTAAGCCCGCCTATTTGTACAGAACTCAATAAAGGTTTAAATAAATAAACAAAATATTCTTGTTTCTATTGTTAGGGTTCACATCGATATTGGAGAAAAATCCGATAATTTAAAAATATTAAAAGAATATGTTAAGGTATCGTTAAACTAGTTGTCTATAACCCCCATTCATTTTTCTCTGTATAAAAGGAGGGTTTTTGTAAGCCATGGCATTCTATCTTTGAGCACAGGATGTGCTGGTTGTATTTGAAATGCTAAAATGAATAGTGTTAGAGACATAGTTAAATTAATGCTATATAGTTGTTATTATAATACATACTTTTACTATACCTACATAGAGTTGATATTTCTTATACTATATATGTGAAAAGATTCTTTAGCATTTCTGTTTATTGGATACTTTTGTGTTCTATGTTAAAATACTATATGACTATTTTTCTTTTATTATTTTTAAATTATAATCCTACATAACAATAACAATTCAGAATAAAAGCAATACAACAATAGTACCTAACATTACTTTCTCTGTCTTCTCGTGTTCTTCGTCTTGTTGTTTTCTATAATACAAACAAATAGGTACCCCCAAATAACAAGATTTTATAAAATTCTTATTGCTTACTAATTCAACGTCTCATGTACATGGTGCAACAATTTTTATACCTCTATGTATACCTTCATATGAAATACTTTTTAGTTATTTAGTTATATTTTTTAAAGTTTTAATTTTAGGTTCTTTGTTATATAATTAAGTTCTGTATATGTGTATAGTGTATAAAGTGTAAGTGTATAATATGATAATATATAGTATATTATAACGCAGATTAAATTAATATCACATACTATATCTAACAAAATTCGAATCTATTTTTGACGAATGAATTGAATAAATAGAGAAAAATATTTAATAATTTGACCCAAAAACGCCAAAGAAAAAAGTTTCATCGTTCTAGCCTCAAAAATGACGAATAACCATATAAACATTCATCCCCTATTTTATTTTACCCCGAAAGGAAAAAAAAACAAACTTTGTATGTCATATTTACTTATATTTAATCAATAACCTAGAAAATAAATTCAAACTGTATCTTTTAAAAAGGCCAATACTTCCATAAAACCTTTTATCTCAACTGTTAACCCCTTACAACGATTTTTCATTAAAAAGTCTATGTCCTTTCTCGGTGTACAGACGATCTGTGTACCAAATTTCATTTAAATCGGTTCAATAGTTTAGGCGTGGAACCGCGACTGACAAAATTACTTTCGAATTTATAGGTTTTGGATAGTAAGGAAGTAATAGGAGTTGTCTAGTAACTAGACAATTGATACTAGGCATACGAGAATCTTTTTTTGTACAAGGAGGTACTAGAGTACCTTTAGTTAGATATATATATTTTTGAATTTGTTATAGTTATTAGGTATTATTAGGTTGTTATTTTTATTAAGTTTTATTTGTTACATTTTTGTTCTATTTTAGTCAAATTACATTGTGTTGTGCTCTAATACATGAATTGTGGTATAAGTAAAAAAATTTTACAGATATGTTTATATTCATGACAATATATGTGATTATCTATAACTGCTGAGTATTAATAAAATCCTATCTAGAAAAATAACCTACGATGGTGAGGATACGGTTAAAATAGCCGCTCAAGCATATTTTAAAAAACCTAAAAATATTTTCGAAAATAAACATTCAATACAAAATAATGTATATTTTTTTTATTATAAAAAATATCACCCAGTACCTATCTACGTACACATAGTGCTATGTATGCTCTATTTAATTTTTTAAATTCTATTAAATCTAAATCTTAAAGAATTTAGAAAATTAACTATTAGATTGAATGTTCATAGTTGACGGTATTTAATTAGACTATGTAGCTAGCTGCCTACATATCTATAGAGCTATTGTAGTCATCAAGTGATCATAGTTCTTACTAGAGAGTGTCACTCTGCATACAACGCGATAAACATAAACAGGCCACTCTTTTCCTCTGTTATATTTACGATGTGTCAACTCGAGTTGTGCTAAATTCGAGTTAACTCGAGTTGAATTTAACCGGTAAATGAACGAATCAAGTGCAAGATGGAGAGCGTGTCTCGGTCGTTGGGTTCGTGTCTTAGTAGGTTTTTTTTTATGGGTGATAATGGAATGATGCACCCGCCTGCGTTAATGGTTTACGCTGACGGGGCACCAGTGGAGGATGATAAGATGAGCACGAGGTCAGGTCAGTTAGCCCATCGTGACAAATTCACCAGGAATTTATCACGATGGTTTCCGCGTGGAGGTCAACCTGACATGGTACACTGCTAGTAATGGGGTCATGAGTACACATTACTAACAATCCCCTTCCCGCCTGTCTTAGTAGATACTCCCGCCATTGCACCGAATGAAATCGACACTGACAAAGTTTTCTGATCATATCAATAGTATTTATATTGATATGAATGTAGTAAAAAAACGTTTATTTCAATATTACAAACAGAACAGACACAAACACTCCATTTTATTTATATGTATAGTTTATCAAAAGACTATATCTACTCAATAAAAATCTTATTAGCAAGATGTAGAAAATGTATAAAACTAAACAGCGCCATCTAGTGGTATAGTTATGAACTAATATAATAAATAAATGCTATTTCGTTCGATTGTACAACGATAATTTAACTTTTTACTTTTTCCCGGTTAAAAGTTAACAGGCGAGAGACCACTTTACGTTCACCATGTTACTAAACAATTATTAAATAGTTCACCTAATTTGAGGCCATGGTACGATTTTAAGCAGGACTGTAGGTTTGCTTTTGAACTGCCCTTCTTTAGGATTGTTTCTTATTTGGTCAGTCAGTCTTAGTGGCTATACCCCTGTGTTTTCAACTTCATTGAACCATAGTGAAATATATTTATGACATTTTGTATCTATGCTATCAAATTGACACGACGCTTCAGTAGTTGACATTGTATGATTGTATAGCATTTTTAGTCTATGCTCTAGTCCAATATTTTTGGTAGTGGTGGATTTATAAATTCTTTCCCAAGTATTTCTCGCTAAATATAGGCGGGAACCTATAGTATTCTTATTTAAACGGCAACAATGAGTGTCGAAGAAGATGTAATGAAAATACAAAAGAAATTGACTAAAATGACTTCGGATGATGGAACGGTAGGTCTTTAGTTATAGTTATATGAAAATCGACAAAGACATTTTCTCCAATAGAAATATCATAATAAACTTACCATAATTATTTTCAATATTATTAACATTTAACGTGTTTTAAATATTCTTAACAGTTAATTTTAAGTGGTTAACTATATTATTTATATATACTGATGTTCATATCTGGAGATATTTTCATATTATTCGTGATAAATATTAGCAGAGCACGCGGCAACAGGTTTAAATTATATAAATAATGCAAAAGTTTTCATTATTATTTGTATGGTATTGACTTTTTATTATAAAAAAATATGTTGTAGGGACAAGAAGACGCTTTGGAACTTTTAAAAACACTTCAAACTATGGCAATAAACTTAGATGTTCTAACGAAAACCAGAGTAGGTATGACAGTAAATGCTTTGCGCAAATCCAGTAAGGATGAAGAGGTAATATCTTTATGCAAAACCCTGATTAAGAACTGGAAAAAGTTTCTTTCAACCCCCAGTACTCCTTCTAAGGATAATGGAAACTCATCTAAATCTAAAAAAGAAAGTAAAGATAAGGACAAGAAAGACGACAAGGAAAAAGATAAAAAGCTGCCAGCCTCATTTCCACCACAATCAAACACAACTGATGCCATACGACTGAAGTGTCGAGAGCTTCTCACACAAGCTTTGAAGACCGATGGGGACAATCCTAGTGCTTGTGCATCCCCCGAGGAACTTGCAGAGGAGCTGGAAGAGTGCATTTATGCTGAGTTCAAAAATACTGACATGAGATACAAAAACAGAGTTCGTTCTAGAGTAGCAAATTTAAAAGATCCTAAAAATCCCACACTGCGCACTAATTTTTTAAATGGTGTTGTGGCAGCTTCACGATTAGCCAGAATGACACCAGAGGAAATGGCCAGCGACGAAATGAAGAAACTGCGAGAGAAATTTATTAAAGAAGCCATTGATGATGCTCAACTTGCTACCGTACAGGGTACTAAAACTGATATGCTGAAATGTGGTAAGTGCAAAAAGAAGAACTGCACTTACAACCAACTTCAGACGAGGAGCTCTGATGAGCCTATGACCACATTTGTTCTCTGTAACGAATGTGGTAATCGTTGGAAGTTCTGTTAAGACTGTTGAACAATCTTTAGCAAATATAGTGTGTCTGTTACGATAATAATATGATACACAGCAGTATCAAGTATAATTAACTAAATTCATACTCAAGTTATACTTTGTTCTTGCTAGATTCATTGCATTGACCTTACTACTAAGAATGGAAGCATGTCGGGTAGATAAGGTAATCTTAGTTTTAATGAAATAAATTATCTGCTTTAAGTGAAAATCACAAGTTTTATTTTAAACATGCCTATGTTATTGCAATGTTTTGTTTTATATTGATTTAGTAGTCTACTTATTTAGGGAAATAAATTGCTTGGATTTTATAATAATTAGAATAGAACTACTTTGTGTGGTAGTAATATGGAATCTTTATAAATGCTTCTATAAACATTTCTGTCATTAAAATTTAAAATGTTTTAGTGAATTATATTGATTAGGCAAATGTTGTGATGAATGTGAGCACTTATACTATTAGTGGGTAAAAAGTAATGAAAAGGTCATGGTTATCATGTTAATATATTTATCAATTTACTTTTGTAATCATAACAGGAATGTGTCCTCTTAGGACTAATTAAATTATAAATTATAAACTTGCCTAGTGCCTGCTCCTGATTTCTCAACATTACTCAACCTGAATTTATACTTATATATATATATATGATCTTTACAGTCTATAATTAAGAAAAAATGCCATAATATCTTATTGTATTAGGTACCATAGAAGTTATACATCTGTTAACTTTATTGTCAGACCATTAAAACTTTTATGAATTTATTGAATGTGGAACATTTTTTTTATAATATATAAACATCAACAACTAGGGATTTATAATTTTTTTGTATGAAATATATTTATTTCCAACTCTACCTCTTAGTATATTGGTATCAGGGTGCAATTATTAAACACCATATTACATATTAATTTCAAGAATCTTACAAAATAAATATATTTTTTCTTTGTAATGAAAAAATATTATTTTATTAATGAAGAAGGAAACAGTTCTTAATGGTAACAAATTTTGTTTCATATATTTTCTAAAATTTAGACTAGCTTCATTAAACTAAGTACAAAATAATAATATCCAAAATTAAGATATGATCACTTGGAAATTAATATATATGACATTTATTATAATATAACATGGGTACCTATATAACAAATTAAATGTCGCCATATGTACCAGATATGACTGATCATCACTTTACTCATTTTGCTGAAACTAAAATATTATTAACAAGATATCAGAGATTACCATCAAGATCAATGTTACCAATTACTAACACTTACATAATTTATTTTAACCTCTTATCTTTATAATTAATAGTTTGGATGTCCTAATATATTCAGGACTGTTTGAAATATAATCTAATATGGCAAGCTACACTTTGGCAACTAACAACTGTTTATTTTTTATTTTTGGCTTAAACTAAAAATATATTTAGTATTTTCTTAGAACATATTATGAATATTATTCTAAACTTAAATAAATAATATTCACTCAGTTAAAAGTTCACCGGTTTTGATTTTTACAAATATTTTCTCATCATTGCACATATTAGTGTTGATTTTTAAGTCTAACTTGAGATCAGTACATACATTTTCATCATCCACTTTTGTAATGGTAAAAGTTACGCCCTCATTAGCAACAAAGCATTCCGGCGTTAATGTTTTCTGATAATTAAAATGAGTTTTAAGATGTTCACGAAGAAAATGTGACTGAACTACAACTAAGTCACAATAAGAACACTTATGACTCCCTGCGTTAAGAATATCACTATCGTCATGTCTTCTGTAATGATTTGTTAAGGCATCTTGTCGCTGATTTGTATATGGACATAATAAGCACATGTGGAGCTTTCTATCTTTTGTTGGTGGTGTTTCACTTGAACTTGGATCTTTTCCAGCGCTATTAATGGACCGTCTTCGCTGTAGTAGGCGCAGGGTTTGTTGGTCACTTATTGAAAACTGCTGAAAATCGCTTTTCGGTGTTCCTTTTGGCATCGTTTTGATGGCTAACTTAATATTATCACCACTGTCATCCTGCTTATCTTCGTGACTACCTCCTTCATTGAAATCATTATTCCCCTTTTTTCTTTCTGCTTGCGCTTCGTCATTCATCTGGTGTTTTCTCATATGCTGAACGTAATTAGCGTAATACTTTACGGAATAGTCGCAGAGTTCGCATTTATATCTTTGTTTTGAACCGTGTAAAGATAAATGAATTTTATATTGTTCCCTTTTTTCAAAAGCAGAAGGGCATTTGTGGCACTTATAGCGTTTTTCTTTTTGGCGACCATTCTTTAAATAAGTGGGATATATAAATTCTGGATTGCCATGCATCAAATAACCAAATTGTGGATCAGCTTGAAGTACGGGTGGGAAGTGGTCATTAGGTTTTACTAATTTATCTTTATCAATTAAAACTCTTTTCTGGGCCTCAGTCTTTCTTTGAAATAAATCTGTTCCCGATAATGGAATATTCTTGTAATCCATATCTTCACCAGACTCGTAATCACAAGTTGGTATTTTATTTTCCCCCTTATGAAGCCATTCATGTTTTGCCAAATTTCCTAAACTGTTAACAGCGTAATTGCATTTTTTGCATTTATGTTCACCGTCTCCTCCATGTAATCCTATATGATAGTTTAGTGCAGAACTTTTGAAAAATTTTGCTGGGCAATCTTTACAAAAGTATTGTCTTGATTCATTAACTTTTTTATTGTTGGTCACTTCATGTTCTGCAGTGGAATCTGAAACCACCCATGTTATTTCTGACGTAGCTGTACAATGAACTAATTTTAGTTGAGGCTGCATGTGCTCTGCATGCGAATTGTACATAAACTTTAACATTTTCGTTTTTGTGTGATATTCATCTGTGTGAACTAAAACATGTGAATTTAACTCGCTTTCTTCGGAGACAGAATATTCGCAGCTTTTACATATGTTGGGAAAATTTAATACATGATATTTTTCATGATTGTTTAATTCATCATAATCAAAGAATCTGGATGGACATTTTTGGCAAAAGTATAACATTTTCATCTCCTTACTACCATTGGATATGTCTTCTTTTATGAAATCTTTTGTGGGTGTTATTTGTTCAGCTTCAATTACCTTTTGTAATTTTTCTATTTGGTCTTCATCTGGTATATCTAACTCAACGGGACAGCAAATGCGTCCATATATTTCACCATGTGTTTTAGAATGTTCGCCTAATTTATTCGGATTATCACATATAAATTTACACTCCAAGCATTTATATACTGTTATTTCACTATTTTCAAAAATAATACAATGAATTTTTTCATGATAAGGTATTTTACATTTTTGTGAATTTACGTATGAACAATAGCGGCACTTATACATTTTATGGAACATATTTTTTGCCGATACCCATACATAAGGTATTTCTTCTAGAGGTATATGTATGTCTGCTTTATCTTCTGTTCTACTAGAATTCATTGACATTGCTTCCAGTTCTGCTTCGGATTCTGTCTTCTTTGTGAGAATACCATGAACTCTTAAATGTTGATGTAGCAAGTGCCTTTTGGAAACGCTGTAGTTACACTGCGGACATTTATATGGCGTGTCAGCTGGAAGTCTGTGAAATTGCTCGTGATACATAAACTGTGATTTGCTGTTTGTTTCATAAGGACATTCTATACATCTGTGTCGTTTTGTTGAATTAGGGTTTAATGGCGTCCCGTGTAATTCTTGCAATGGGGACTTACATCCCATTGCTTTAGATATATACTCTTCTGGTTCGGTCACGCCATGGAGAAGTAAATGTTGCATTAATTCCTGCTCATCCTTAACAAAATAAGGGCAAAAGTAGCATTTGAAAATAGACTGCGGAGAAGGCTGATGTTGCTGTAAATGTGCTACGAACATTTTTTTATCATTGGTTTTAAACGGACACTTAGTGCATATGTCAATAGAGCCTTCATTTGCTGAAATATCTGGTTTTGGTTTTAGCGTTGTGATGACTCTTATTACACCGTCGTGTTTCAATCGGCAATGCCTCTGAAATAATATTAAAATAATATTTTAAACTTAGGTACAATGGAAACTAAATAGCTTGACTAATTCTTAATAAGTAGCTACCTACTTAATCCCAAGATATTCTGACATGTGACATCAAGGTCTTAGTTAGAAAACTATCTGTGAAGGTTATTCGAGTATATATTAAATAAACCAGTTTTAATTAAGCTTATGATAGAACCTGATATAAGGAGTAAAGTAGGAAAGATGTGCGTGTGAAGGCAGTAACAGAAATAATTATATATTACTTTTGTATTATATCAAGTGGCTTTATGCAAGCTGATCTTTTTAGTAATCAAATAATTTTATAAAAAATAATATATATATACAAAATAATTCAATAAAATAACTAAACGTAAACTAATGTCATCTTCATTAAAACCTATTATAGAGATATATTAACGAGAGCAATTGCTAATCAACATACAATACGGATAAAATTGGTCGATTTTTATATCAGTATATATATTTGTAAGTGATTAAATATAGTGTAATATACCTGTATAACATGTTTCCAATTTGATAACTGATTGCAGTGTCCACAGCGATAAGCAAGATCTGCTGGATCAGGTATATTATCAGGTTTCTTCATTAATTTTGAATCGTCTGTATTGCCTTCCGCTCTTGAATGCTCTCGAACATGTTCTAATAAAGCTTCTTTGGATGGATCCCTGAAACATTATACCAAATAATCAAGCCAATGAAAGCCCGTTCATAAAATAATGAAAATCTTTAATAAATTAAAATATTGATATGTACTCGTCAAATTAGTCCAGTACGATTAATATATAAAGCAGAGTCGCAGCTATGTATGAAATTATACATATATCATATATCAATGATGAAAAATTATTTTAGAAACGATGCCTATTTGGAACCTGTTTGTTAATATTATATTTCTTATTATATTATAAATGAATTTGATAAATAAACTTACCTATAATTGCATTTTTTACATTTCCACAGAGTTTTCTTTGGTTTCTTGGAATCGGAAATTTTGCCATCATTGGATTTCTGATCTCCGTGTTGTGTCTGTAAATTAAGTGGCTGCATGTCTAATGGTATTGATCCATTCATATTTTCAGTTAAGTCATTCAAGGTTTCATCTACCTCCATTGATGGATCTGTTAAAGCATTTTGATCAATGTAATGAAATTTGTTCTCACCATTTTCGTTCAGAATTGACATTGCTAAAAATTTATTATATTTGCTATAGTTTCTTCGACCTGTTTCATCAGTCATAAGCACTTTTGCTTCATTATGCTCAGGATCTCTAGCCGACTTTAATTTGATATGTTTAGTAATATCCCATCTCCAATTTGACTTGTATTTGCACAAAGAACATTCAAAAGGCTTCTTATTTAAATGTCCTACAATATGAACATGAAATCTAGATGCAGTTGAAGCCCAAAATTCACAGTGTGGACATTTAAATACTTTTTTGCCTATAGCTTGACTTGGCGACAAGTTCATACTTTCATTATCGTCTACAATTTCAGCTTCGTAATTTCTGTGTAGTTCTGGGAGTGTTGAATCGTCATTGATGTTAATACCAAGTGGTGTCTCAAACTTGTTAGGATCATGATTAATGTTATTCCAAACAAACACTACATTTTCCATTGGATGTCGTTCAGCGTCTCTTTCTTGCACAGATATTGTAGTTTCATTGTTTTCTTTTTTTTTTAGTTCTATACATTGTTCGTCATCTCTCGTTTGATTTTTTCTGCACGTTTGCATATGAACATAAAGATCTGCACTAGATTTGCATCTATGTCTGCAGTTTTGACATCGCGTTGAGCCCAAAGTTGAATGTAAAGTATTTGGTGCAATGCGGTTTAATTGTGAAGAGCAATTTTTCTCATGTACTGAATGTTCAGATAAACATTTGCTTTCAAAACCGCAATTTTTACATATAAGTGACCCTTCTTCACCGGTTTCAGTGAGTAATCTTTCCTTTAATTTGTCAAAGAAGGATTCATTTTTTTTACGCACTAATGTATCCTTGGTACCTGTTGGCATATTAGACACAGGTATTAATGTGACATCCGCCGGTAGATTTTCAAATTTGCTGCTATTACTATCATTTGATTCTGTTAAATTCGATTCTTTAAACTTCTTTGCAGGTGGTTCACCACTGCACGTTTTGCCCTGATTTGGAGTAGATGCGTTTAATGGTATTAATTGAGGAATTGGTCTGGAAATTTTTCTGCTCTGTTTTTGATATTTGGCATCATCCATGTCTGCATTAGGTGATAATTCATTCTGTATATCTTGTGGAGAGTGTTGATCGTCTCTTTTGACTGTCATATCAGTATCATTTGAGTCGCTATTACAACTTATCATTTCTCTCTCTGCGTACTGCAATAATTCCTGAAATAAAAGAAAGAACAAAATTAAAATAATGTACTCTTATATTCACTTATACAAATAGCATTGTTTTGGATCTATAGTCGATAATTGTGAACTTATGTTTGTAAAATTGGTATTAGTAGAAAGTCGAGTAATAGGAAATCTAATGTGACACTTGTTTAGATTTATATACGAATCATTTTGTTGTAACAAACGTACCAGTTATTTACACGTGACATGTATTACGGGTACTAAACAACTGATGTAAATACATAGATACAATCATACGCATACATACAAATATTTGTATCGTGCGAGGAATCAAACCCCCGACCATTGGAAGTAAGGTGGTATGCTAAAGCACCTAGGCCGTCCGAGTTTCATTTGATTTAGTCTGTCTAATTGACATACATGAAAAACAACAACACAAATGTCCATCCAGCATCTTAATTTTGATTAGTAATTTCAGTAATTTAGTTAATTAGTAAAATTTAATATTTCAACCCTGGTAGAATTATAAATATAGATAACGCCTCGTTCAAATAAAATCTATTACAGTCAACATTCGATATTGCTATAATGACTTTATCAGGCTTCAACACATTGATTATAAATTATGGATCCCCTTTTTTATTATTTGTTGTGAGACTGCAGTGCGCAATTAATGTGTGATGCTGCAAAACTATAAATAACTAAGGGCGCTCATTTTATTATTAGAACATTAAAAAAATATACAATGGAAATCAATTATTCGGAATTATGTTTAAAATGAAAACTGAAACTTGTCTGAGACAAGTCGATAAAGAGACATTTTTATAATTAGGTTTTTTAGTATAGAATTTATAATAAATTAGAATGAGTCCTTAAATATTTTTAGGCATAGCAAAAGATACCAACTGCATCAATCCCTAGATACATGAGATAATATATTTCTTACTACGTATTCATTTATAATTTGAACATGAACAGTCATTACTTCGAAGATTACATTATTTAATCGTAGGTAATAACTGCTAATTGCTTAGGTGAAAGGCTATCTATAAGAAATCATACATTAATTCTAGAATAGGCAATTCTAAGCAAATTGTTTGTCAAAATGTTTTCTAGATCTGACAATGTTTCTATTTACGCTACAGCGGCTGTTAATAATTATTGATTATAATTAATTCATCAGATACCCACTATGCATAGCTATCTAAATATTGGTGAATGTAGACTATTATGGAGCTAACTTAGTTTATGCATTTATAAATAAGTTATATAGGTATCGTACCATAGCTAAAAGGTGTTAGGTGTCATGACAGCATGATTACCTCTTACCAGGGTAAAAAATGAAGATAATTTAATAGCAATTATTGCGGTACCTACTTTAATGGCCTGATCTACATTAATTTGATTGTTTTGCTCATAATTATTTAATTCATAATAATCGCAAAGTATACCTAAATATGTTTACTAATGCAACACAAGTCGTATAACTTCGACATGCATACAACGTAGATAGGCAAGCATGATACAAGAGGGTGCGAGGGGCCGCCCGACCGAGTGGATCGCAGTGCGACCGGCGCGGCGGCGCGCGTGTATAGCGAGTCGCAGAGCCATCAGTGATAACAGTGGCAGACGTGTGACGTCACCGGGCACTGTTGTCCGCCCCGGGGCGCGGCCCCTTACAACATGTTATACACGGTGACACTCACCGAGGTCGAGTGTGAGGAGCGTGAGTCGCCACTCCCTTCTTCCTCCTTGGTGATAAACGCTGTTACGTCGTCTTCAAATGGCACGTCGCTGGCACCCACCCGATTGCGGCGGCGAATTATTAACGATTGACCCACTGGCGGAGTGTGGTGATTCATCTCATGTACTGTCAGACTTTGCTTAATGTCCGCTGTGAAGTTGCACATGTAGCAGGTGAAGCTACCATTACCTCCGTGATTTTTCATGTGGCGATCCAGATTCCATTTATATGGGGTACGAAAATCACATATGGCACACTTAATCATAGGCATTGAATGATATTTGACGTGCTTAGTAAATCTGGCCCTGATGTGCGTAACATAGTTACACTTAACGCACGAGAAATATTTACTCTTGCTTTTTGTTGCATTCAATTGATTTATGTCATTCGACATCGATCTATCAACTCCGCCGTCGATGTCTGCGGAACGGCACAGTGACTCGTCATTGCCATCCTCTCCCTCCATTTCTACATCTTCACACTCTTCTACTTCTTCAAGCAAATCTTCAATTCGTTCTGAAGGCTCAGTTGTGTCTGAAATTGGTGGTGGTGGGGGTGGTATCTCTATATCCACCTTGCCGTTGGTAAGCGAAGTAGGAGCTACATGCACCATTTTCAAATGTCTCGAAAGTTTCTGCTGATGCCTAGAAGCGTAAACACAATGTGGACAGTCGTATATTCTAAATTTTTCAAAGTGAACGTCACGTATATGCACTAGATACGCTCGTGGATTCTGAGTATAAAATTTGCACTTGGCGCAATTGTAATTTCTCCTTATTTTACACTGCGGCAGCTCCGATTCTTCCGCAGCGTCCGAAGAGGCCTCTGACGAGACGTCGCCGTTCAAGCGACCTTCAAAGGGGCGCACAAGAGACGCGACCTCGCCGACTTGTGCGCTCGGCGGCGAGGACATCTGCTGTAGCATTCTCCACTGTAACAAAACAATGTTCGATGTCGGTTAAACTTTCCGGGAGGGCGCGCGGCGAAGGGTATACGGATCGCGGTCGGTAGCGCAGCGCGCTGTGGCCGACACGTGTGCGGTGCGCGAGAGCGCCGACTGAATGAGATGGAGATGGGCCGTATGTAGTCGGCAGGCAGGCAGCGACCGGCAAGTGACGGTGTCGGCTGGCGTGCGGCCCCGAGGGCGCGTGGGCGCGGGACGGGCGGAGGGCCCGATGGTATGCTTCTATGTTTTTCATCCTCCTCGGCGGCAGCGGTTAGGGGAGCTGTCGGCCCAGTTAGCGACATCCACTCGGTTACGGCCTAATGAAATTTGGTGCTTACCACGCATACTGTTACACACCCTATGCCAGTGGGTTGCCAATTTGTAACGATACAAAACTAAAATATTGTATTACAATATAAAATAACCTGATGCTTCTTTTTAATACTTTTAGCCATATCTTATTTTTTTAAATGAGAATTTACCCATTTAATTGCAAAATAAATCATCAAAACCATCAAAACAATCACTTAACACGTAACATTCGGAAACACAATATATTTTGTAAAATTAAGAAGTCAGTTGAAAAAAATAAGATTTATATTTTATTAAGACTGTCACTAAAAGTAGGTAAGTAAATTATATATAGCAGTAGCGGTAGGTAGAAAATAATTAAATACCTACATAGAATATTTGATAATCTATCAAGTATAAAGAAGTTGCTATTATCCTTTAAAACCGTCTAGTTAAGTACACGCGCGGAAACAAGGTGCTTATCTATGCGTATAATTGTAAACGATTTGATGAAATTAGTAATATTTTAGTTAAAAGCGTTGATGTCTTTTATAAAAGAATAGTTAATAGTTATACTTTATTAAAATCAGAATACAAAAATTAACAGTATTATCTGACTGCCAATGAAAGGAGTATAATGTTTTACGACTGTGTAGGTATTTAATTTGTACGTCCATCCGACTTATTAAAAGATTCTTATATCTATTCAGTAGAGAGCGTCGTGGCCAAGTAATTTACACCCTAAGGGCGTAACTTCAAATTTGGCTAACACAAAAAATCTTTGTATATAAATTAAATTGAGTGGCTCTTCGTTGATGTATACACCGATAACAAACTATGGATTGTTTAATTAATTTAAGAGATGGTAAGTGACATCATGGTAACAGTAAACCCCAGTTACTTTGGCATTAAATATACCGAACGAAATATGGGCAGGCATATGTGGCGTTCGATATGACGTAGAAATTTGACTATGCTTCTGACTTTATCAGTATCTGCTTGTGACGTAGGTGTTATATACAAGTAGGTAAGTATTTTGTAATGTAGGTAGTTGCTATAGCACGCTGTGTGATCCCGCGTGATTATGCAGTGCGAAGGGGCCTGCTCGAAGCGGGAAACACTACACCTCTTCAGAATACCAGAGTTAAGTGTTATCGCGTTTCGCATGGTGAGTCGAGGTTCCGGACGCCCATCCTCCTCCCTCCGATCCCTTTCCCAGTACCTTCTCCTACCCACCCCTTCTTAAAAGGCTGGCAACTCACCTGCAATTTCCCTAATGTTGCGGGAGATCATGAGCGGCGGTAATCACTTACTATAAGGTGAGCTGTAAGTTAGTTTGCTCCCTTTTATGAAAAAAGAGCGCGAAGTTTGTTTTATTAAGTGTGTCAAGAGTAAACTTCGAAACCACTGCAGTTATCTAAAGAAATATTTTACCATTAATCCAAATTTCATTAAGATCTGTTCAAAAGACAAACTGGCAAATAGACACACACTTTCGCATTTATAATATTTGTATTACAAATAAACTCAGAAATGACACGAAGACAACGCGTCGTCCGTTATACTCATATCAAAGTGATAACAGTTCGCTCGAGGGCCTCGAAGTCGCCAAATTTTAATGCGATATTGTTGTCAGTATGCCAATGACTGACGGAAACGCTATATGCTTATACTAGCGCCCGCACGAGTGCAATATCATTGTAGATATTTAGTTTTTGGAAATAAAATACGTAGGTTTTGTTACTTGCTGCTGATATTATTAGTAATGGGGAACAGGTGTGCCATTGCCATCAATCTTTTGTCAGATTGACCCCTGGAAACCATCGTGGTTAATTCTTGATTACGATGAGATGACTGACCTAAGTTCATCTTTCGTTGGTACCCCGCTAGCGTAGTGTGATTCTAACGAATTAATTTATAACCATACATAACCTAAGAACTGATGAAACAAGTTATATACACAGCTCGCTTATTATGAGGTCGCGTAGAAGACTATATCTTAGTTAATTTGATACGCGTCGCGGGTACACCTAGTGTGAGTCGCGGGTACCTACCTACCTCGCGGGTACACCTAGTATGTGGTAAGCGATGTCGTGTGACCATTGTTAAGCTCAATTACGTCACGCCAATAATGATTACGTTGTAACCTTACTCTTCTAAGCAGCACAGAAGTAATAATATATTTTGCGTTTGTAGTTTAAAGGTATGAATCTGTTCCCATCTAGGTATATGTGTAATATATGATTTACTACGTCATGAATCATGAAATAGTCGCATACCTAAAATGCAAAAAATACAGTCCGATGAATATCTCTTCTTTTTAGAAACGGTTAAAAATTAAAATAGGTTGTTCACAATGGCATCCTTACTCTACATACTTTCATTATTGTCTGTGCACCCCGACTCAAATACCTGCGGTGCTGACTGTTGATGTGCCGCGAATACATAGCCGACTTCAAACTTTATTGTTCATGTAAACTAACTTTTCGAACTTGACAATTTGTAAGATTACGGTAAATTCGCCCCCAAACATCACGTGGTAAAAATGCTAGGTCATATATGGAAATAGACAAAGAGTTACGCTATAATAGAGTTAAAATATTTGGTGATGACTCTTTTAAGGTTCGAGACGTAAGTATGTGTATTTTATCACGATCATTATATGTATTCATTTATTTACATTCTGATTACGCGTGAGCGGCATTGAAGAAGTTTTTAGTTCATTTTTCTACATTGACTGACGTAAATACAACTAATGCACTTTTACTGATCATTTGTTGGGTCGCTATACAATATATACGTATTCTATATATACCGATATACGTATCTAGAATAGTATATTTCGATAATGCTATTTTCTAGTACAGATAATCATATGATAATATGTACATATATAACATAGTGAGATGTCTGAACCACTCGAGTAGAAGCATCTGCCGGACGTGTCCTGATGGGACAGCAGGGCGAGGTGCGGGGAGGGGCGACAGCCGGCACGTCGACGCGGACAACTTGACAGGGTCGAGGCAGGAAACGGTCGGAGAAGGCATCCCAGCCCGAGCACAATGGAGGCGGCGGCGCGCCGCAGGGGGAGCCCTCGCAATCGATATGGCGTCGCTAAGGTCCGTTGGCCGCTGCGAGCGGTTTGGAGCGCTGCAGAGGCGGATGCCCCTCGCCGCGCGCGCCCCTCATACCCCGCTCGCCCACCACACCTGCTGTGTATTTATAGAGCGGCACAGCCGGCGCAGTCCGGGGATGCAGGGATGTCGACCCAAGCACGGCCGTCGACGTCTACCCAATAGTACCCATCATAAGCGCAATGTTCGCACGCACAGCGTGGCCGTCACCGCTGCCGAGGTACGGCTGATGCCCGCCTGTTTATTATTTGTCACAATGGACATAAAAATAGCAACGAGCGGCGTTCAACAACTTGCTGAATGCTCTGTTTGTAATGTATCATCGACGTGGTATTTGCGATAACACGCCAGTGGGCTATTTAGTGGCAGCATGATATTGGTTATCTAGAAACCACAACGAATAGCAGCAGTTAAGAATTTCAAAACATTCGACGTGCTATAAAGCTAATGCATATTTTAGAATTAATTTGAAATTGCATAATTGTTTTAAAAATGTACCTCACACACATTATGTTAATAAGACATTGTAAATATTGTTAAAATACAAACATTGAATGTTTGATAAAGATATTCATATAAAACGACTACATGCCGTAAAGTTACTCTATTGACAATACTTTACCACAACTACATTGTAGTACATTTAATTGGACTACGTACTGGTATACCTCTATATAATCCAAAATAAACCCAATTTACATAACAGTAAGGGTTTGATATCAGTTCATATGTTAATAATGCACGGACACGAAATATCTGTAACAGCATATAATTCCTTTCACTTTCGTCTGTTTCAAGTTCAATTGGCGAGACCCGCAGCTACGCATCGAAACTGATGTTATTGAGAATCCATAACTATACTTTTCCTTTCCATTGATCGTACTATTGTTTATTATCGAATGGCTCTTTTCTTTTAATTCTGTATCAAAATACTCTTGACAAGTTAACTTTACTAAAGTTTTTATAGAGATACAGAGAATGTAAGTACGGATACGTGAATAATGGACATAGCACAACAGGCTAGATATACACAGAAAATTACATATTACCAATAAGTTGATTTGTATTACAAATGATTCAAGTTGAAAGTGATCCGGTGTTTTCTGTAATACTTATTTTGATAATTATACTAATAAACACAACCCTCGACAATCCGTACCACAATTAACAAAAAAGCTCATTATTTTTCTTAAATGTAGACGACATTAAAAAAACTATTCCAAAAATTAGAGTTAGGTAACCTTAAAGAAGCAATGTGTCATAAATAATTAGTTTTATAGAATTCATAAGTCCTTTTGTTATTTCAATTTAAGAATAGCAGTTTAATGAATTTTTCTACGACTTATTATACATACATTTAAATATGAATATAACAGTGTGCATATAGATATACAAATATATGTTATATGTCCTATAACATCTCTATTGTATAAAATTGCATTAAACATACAGTTAAGTAGAGCTCTATTTTATTAGTTAGGCGTGTGAAGTCCTGGGCACAGCTAGTGTTCTACAAAAGGGCCCAAGCTATAATTTGCAGATTCCGTCAAAAATGTATTA